AAGTTGTTCGTTTTTTGTCTATTTTTTTTCGATGCATACTTTTGAGCTTGCTCAAACTTAAACTTTAACCTACCACAAATGCTGCATAAAGCAATAAGCCGAGCGAGTACCAAATAATTACCCCAAATTGGTTATTGTAGCTTGGCAAATGGATGACAGCAGGGCAATGTAACAGAAGCCAGAGGAATAGAAGAAATACAATACACAAGAAAATAAAAGAAAACACACGCTATTATAACAACAGCCTTAACAAATGAAAACGGAACAAGAAAATGCGAACACACATAGTTGAATTAACAATGGAAACGAATCGAGCCCAGCAAATTGTGAATCTAGTGCTGCCGGGCCAATTGATAACTGGCAGGACCGAACTGGGCCAGGATTCACTAAGCTTTGTGAGCTGCCAATGGCTCAGGAAAGCGGAAGTAGCGACAGAGCGGAAGTTGCCATCGGCATGAAGGTGCAGAACAAAAACGCAAATGTCATAAGGTTAAGCTTCAATAGCTTGTGCTTGCCCACAGGACATTTTGGTGTTTTACATTTTTTAAGGCATGTTTTAAAATTGGTACCGCTGACAAGGACACTGCCCGCAAAAGGTAAACACTTCAAACAGCTAAAAGGGCGCCAAATATGAATGGACTTGTGAGAATAATAAGAAGTGGAAAACGACGTAGGGGGAGGCGGCCAGGAGACGACATCGATGATTTTATCGGCTCCCGTTCGCGGGTTTAAAACTTGAAATACTTTTGTTTGTATTTTTTTACATTCGTCCAGTGTTCTGGGCCCTAGCTAATCCAACTCGCATATGTAAACAGTTGTTCTTGTTTTTCTTGCTGCTGACTCGCATGTTGCATGAAAAATGAAAGCGAAAATCAATAAAGGAAGCACGCGATATGAAATTACCAACGCCCACTGACCCCCAGATAAAAGTGGCAATTGCCATGGATGGATTGGAGGAGGTGTCGTCAACAATGAAGGGTTCCCTGACTCCGTGTGCTTGCGTGTGTCTGTGTGTGAGTGTGTTTGTTTTTATAAATATTTACACAGGGTAAAGTATCAACGCGTCGACATCTATTCAAGCAATATAAGTCACCGAGAACACGCCCCTACTCCCCCTTTGCTTCCCACTGCTCAGACCAGGTCCAGCTCCTTCAGTTTGAGTGCTTGTATGTAAATGCCGAGTAGTGCCTCGCGGCATCCTTCTTTACCATTGCATCCTTTGTGCACATAATTTATGCTCATTGTTAGCCGTTATCCGCGGCAGAGACTGCGGCATATTTGCTGTCATTACGGCATACACTTATATCATTTTTTATTTTTATTTGGTTTTTGTTTTTGAGGGTTGCAGCTTGTAACCGAGAAGCAACGAATGGGGTAAGCGGCTTTACCAGCTCTGCTGCTTGACTACTTGTTTTTCATGGATTTTGGCTTTAGATTTCGTTGACTCGACTCAGAGATCTTTTGTTTTACATGCAGATATGTGTGGGTAGTCGGTGTGTGTTTGTCGCTTGTCATAAATATTATATGGCTTGCCCTGTTTGTGTCGACGCGGCATAAAAGGCGCCGGCAGGGACTTGTCAGCTGTTTGGTAGCCAAATTATAAATATTAATAAGCTCATATAATTACAATTTAACACTAAGCACTGGTTGTCTGATGCTAGTACCCTGAAGTTGTCACCATATAACGTATACGCTACGCCCTCCCTCCCGCAACATTTGCTACTTATAAATAGAAAATATATATACGCATATTAAACTATTACATAACTGTCTACATATTTGTATATTCTCTAAATGCTGCTCCAAAATAAACCTCACAAACATGTTCGAATTTCGAGCTGTTCGTTTACCCTAAATAGGTGAAGGTTACCCCACGTAATAATTTAAAAATAAATAAAAGCACAACAGCAACAACTAGCCAAGCATATTGAAAGCACGCTTTGGCCAATGCTATAAAAAAAAAAACAACAAACAACAAAAAGAACGAGCTACAACTAAATTAATAAAACATATTCAAGGTACGAGCAATGTGCAGTGGCAACAGCAAAATGCTGAGGCTAGCAAAATTCTTCAAGAGAGCATCGAAAGGCATCGCGAGAGAGAGATAGAGAGAGAGAGAGAGATAGAGAGAGAGAGAGAGAGGGCGAGAGAGAAGGGTGGATGGAAGAGAGAACAAAAGAGAGTACGATTGAGCGCAACATGCACATTGTCAGCTGCAATGGGCTGAGCGGGCGAGCGTTGGAGCTGGCTAGGCCGCCTTCACGTCATGGAAACTAAATCAAAAGCGCACAATTAGGCCAAACGAGTGCCTCAGCGTCAATGCAGGGAGGCGGACAATTGACATGCAGCCAGCTATGTGAGTGTCTGTGTGTGTATTCGTGTTTGTGTGCCTGTGCTGTATGCAAATTTGTGTGGCAAGTTGCGGGCGAGTAAGGCCCAGCGCAAACTATGTCGCTGGGTCGCTCGTCCAACCTCGTGTGTGTGTGTGGGTGTGGGTGTGGGTGTGTATGGTGTTGTTGTTGTTGGCAGGTGCCTATCCAAGCAGCAGCAGTTCTAAATAAAAGGTGCGTCTATAATTTTTCCATAAATAAATCAGCAAAGCAAAAAGGCAGTCAAATGGCAACATCAACAAGAACAACTAATTGAGTACGGCATGGGGCCGAGACAAGTAAACAAGTGGAAGGACTCTTCTTTCGTTATAATCATGTCTACTTGTGTGACTGCTCTCGAGAGCTGGCGCGACAGTGTCCTATTTGTGTAATTTTGTTGTATTGTGGCTCTTATTAGAGACGACGTGAAATCGTACAGAGGAGCAAGCCCATTAAATTGATCAATTTGAAAATGTGCTTAATCCTGCCTTAAAGCTATATAAAAATAACCAGCAATCGCTCACTTTTTTTATTTAAGGGTAAGCAGGATTTTTACAAATTCCCACGAGTTCTGTTTGTCAGCTATTTGTCCTTGATTCCAAGTGTATTCATTATCATATATAAAGGATAATATATGTAATCAGCATTGTCAATCCTTCTACTTATTTTTACGTCAAGAAAGTTAATGTTAATTTGACTATTATACAAATAAATGTGAATTGATATCTAAAAGTAAGTATTTGATAATATACCAACTAATTCTGGGACAAACTGGTAGCAACTGCACAATTAGGCGGGGTACGGCGGAGAGAGCGAGGGTTAAGCAGGTGGATAGTGCACCAGTGTGAATAAATAGCAGCCACAAAATTAAATTATAAACGAAATCATTTGCAGTGAATGTAGTAAATACTTTGCCACATTGATTAAGATTTTCCCCAGTTGTTGCACAGCTAAAAAAATACACTTCACAGTGCAGAGAGAAGCATAGTTTTGTCAACACCATTGCCCAGATACCGCCGCTCCCGCCCTGTCCCTGCTGTGCCCACCCATGCAAACTAAAACAAAACTGGATTACACTCCCCTTTGGGGTGACCCAACAATACTTAACGGAGGACTCGCAGCGAATGCACAACGATACGAAAGCGCGAAAAAGAACAGCCATTTATCGCTAGAGGCATGTATGCACGGCGATTATTTTGGATATGCCCCTCATTTAAACTTAGCTTTACGTAATGCTCGTATTGCTTTTTTATGCTGTTACGTCATTTCGATTAAGTTAACAGAAAACCCAGACTTAAATCCAGAATTAAAAACGCTATTCATTTTCAGGGATTACGTATTGAACCCAAACAGCGACAAAGTCCAACAAAGGTATACCATATATTGGTCATATGCCAGGTCAAAATAAATAACAACAATTTATGAATTACTATTAAATGTTGGAAAATTCGAATAATTATTAGATTCAAACCTAACCACGACAAAAAAAAATGCAGCTTAAATATAAATTTTCAAGAAGTACCTAAATCAAAATCAAAATCCCATAACGATGTACGTTCGTATTTCGTTTGTTGTATTTTATGAATAATCGTCGAAAATTTGTTCAAATTTTAATATTATACACAAATGTGTTGCCTATCATAATTATTTGAAAAGATTTCTCAACATCGTTTCCAGCTTATATTTAAGTCCTGTATGAGTATAGATGTTGTCACCTTAGATTTATTTATTTAAACTAGCACGGTCAGACTGTTTCTCGACCTGCCCGCCAAAACCTGCACCGCGCGACCCGAGCTAGCTACGAAGCAGCTCTCCACACAAAAACACTCACATACTCCAGCTCGGGTAATCAGTAGAGAGTCGGAATCGCCAGTTGGCTCTCACTGTTGCAATTATGCCAAATAGGTTAACAGCCGTTTCGTGCCTTTTGCGCGAATTTTTGGTGTGTTGCTTTGCTTGTTTACATAAGCCTTTTCTCATTTCGTGTTTTTTTTTATGTGCCTTTGCCCCACTGTGCCTACGGTTTGCTGTCCGCGGCGATGTTTACCCCAGATATTACTAGGTGCTCCATGAATTGCACAACGGGCTCAGGAGGATCGGGGAGGATGGGTTAGCGGTTGGGCAATGTAAATGAAACGAAACGCCAAGCAACGGGCAATTTAATGTCTATTTGCATTCGACAACAACAACTGTAGAAGCAGCATTAGAAGCAGCAACAGCAGCAACAAAATGTAGAATCAAGAGTCGGAGTCGGCGAATAAACGAGTAAATTAACGAGTGCCAGTTGATATCTCGGCCTGCAGCTCAGCTTGATTAGCTGAGATCGTTTGCACGGAACACATATGTACGTATATACCTTTTATTGCTTTGCTAAATATTAAACAGAGAACTACATTAGACAACAAGTTTCAGCTTGCGAATCAGACCCACAACAATGCGCAGAGACGATTGGAATTACTGGATAGCACTTGTCAAATAGATGTGGCATGTCGGGACAAACTACAACCTGTTAAGTATCTAAGTAAATTTAACTATTACACAAGGCAGTAATAAAGAAAATAATTGAATATTGAACTTATGCTTACATATACTTAGTATGTACATATTTTATGTTCACATAAATATATTCACCTTTCTGCAAGGAGTCGTGCATACAGCTGCAATTAATTGAGTGCGGGGCTATATTAACTAGTATATATGCTGTTCTTGTATTCTTTATATCGTATTTTAATATATTAGGAAAGATTATTTCAGTTGTTAACGTGTACACTTTTGTATAATTATATTATATATTCTGCTTTTATTTCTTATAAATTACATACGACACTCCAATGTGGCTGTTTCAGTTGTTATTGCTGCTGCTTTCTCAAATTTGTTGATACTCTTCTCGTTTTTTTTTTTCTTTTTTTCAGTTGTTGTTGTTGTTGTCGTTATTTTAGTTGCTTCGTTTGCTTTGAGACGAGTTATGTAAACACAGAATACACCAACACACTTAATAGTTCGCGTTAATTTTAAGACGAGAATTGAATTTGCGTTCATAGAAATTTTGAAAATAACGAAGACATCACTTTAGGCGCCCTGTTATCGATCTAAAGAGAATCGAGCACAATTGCAACGTACACTTCTTTACCACACTGTATGTATGAATGTGTATAATGTATGTGCAAGTGCTATAATTTAAAATAATATCTACACATACACATGTATATTTCCTTTCCCACAGTTGCTCTGCGTATGCGTCACGCGCCGCTTTGCGTGTTCGTCTTCGCCTCACGTTTGTTTCTAACGCAAAAATTGGTCGACGGACGATGCCGATGAATTCGGTGCCGTGGCCATTTGCGCCCTTCATGGACCTGCGCAATGAGGTGTCCTCTCTTTAGGCTCAGCAGACAGCGGAATGAGGTGGCGCGAAGGCGCGAAGGCCCGAAGGCCCCTGTCAGCGAGCGCATTTTTATTTAAGCTGACTTGCTTGTAGCTTTCCCTGTGCTTTTCTTTAAATAAATCTATCAAGTCACCAATTGTAGCCGAACAAATATCGACACATCGGCAAGTTCGTTAAATGCAATTCAAATGTTCAGCCGCTGAGTGGCCTTGTGTACGATAACATTTAATTCTTCGCTAGCCCATGATTGTTGATTGTTCTACTTTTGCAAAAATATTTTGAATATAACGTAACTACACATATATCTTTAAAAAAAATTAAAAGGTTTAGAGGAGAGGGCAAAATAAATGTAATCAAAAAACAATATACAAAACGCGCACTAACGTAAGTCTGAAGGGTAACCTTAATACAAATTGTATTTGTTGGCAACGCTTTCAATCCGTTCGCAAATGTAAAAAAGCAATGCTTTAGACAATATGTAGTTATTTAAACCAATTGGCGCAAAAAGTTTTCAGCCAGCATCGCTGGACGCACTGACGCTCTTTCTGCCTCTCAGCAAGCACACATTGTACATTTATGCAAATGTGTGTGTGCCACGTCCACGTGCCCAACTGATCACATTTTTCGGTGTGTGTGTGTGTAGCTGCTGCGTATCCTTCTTGTTGGCGCGCAATATGGTGTGCCCATTAAATTGTAGAATACTGCCATCCGGAGGCATAGCCTCAAAATTTTGCATTGAATTTAATTGAATTGCGTTGTGAGCTGTTTGTTTTAAAATTTATTTCAATTATATTTTGTGTCATGTAATTTTTGTGCCCACTCAACAGCGTGCTCTCATCCTAATGCTCTCGCTCTCGGTTGCCTATCAGAAGCTGACGGATTATATCGCTTTTACTCTCTTTTACTCTCTCCCTCTCATTCGCTCTATCTCTCTCCCCCTCTCTCTCTCTCTCGCTCTCTCTCTCTCTCCCTCTCTCTCCCTCTCTCTCTCTATGTGCTTGAGTGTTACTCCCTGCCTTTCTTTCACATTGTGTATGCCGTTAGCGCTTATTAGGGCACTAGGTTTTCATGCAAGCCACGGAAAATTGCTGCACATACACATTTACTAGACAGTTTTGGGGCAACTTTTTTATTTCCTGTGCCCCTAAGGGCTTTCAACAAAAATTATACATTTTTTCATACGCTACGTTTGACTAAAGTATGTACATAAATTGAATATCTACGGAACACCAAAACCAAATAGCTTATGACATAATTCAACAAATACATACATACGCAAATACGTAAGTTCATTCGTTCGTATGTATTTATACTTTTATATGAAATATGTATATAACTTAATGTATATACATGTATACGCTTGTAGAAGAATGCTCACGCACCATATGTTTCAAGCGTCTGCTAGAAGCGCTATGAAACATGAAAATCTCGTGTGTTCGCCTACGTAAAAGTGTACGTGTGTGTGCCTATGTCTAACAATAACGTGAAAAACTCGTTAGCAAACGAACGAAAAACATTTAAATAAAATATATGAACTATATATGTATATATGTACATATGTTTGTAAATTATGTATACGCGCAGTGTGCGCTGCGCTTTATCAGCTTGCAGTCAGGGGAGAGCAAAGAATAGAGAGAGAGAGATGAAGAGAAATAGAGAGTGAGAGCGACTGACTGGTAGAAAAAGCTTTGCCACAGCTCGCACACCACACAAGCACACAAACAGAAAGACTGTAATTGTGTGTGTGCGCGCTGCTACTTTGACACACTTTTATATGACGTCGTTGATTTTAATTTTTCGTTTGTTCGCTCATTTTTTCTGAGCTTATGTCGTTCTTCTTCGGACTTGCCAGATTCTGAATGTTTTTCTGTGTTGCTTTTTGCATGACATTTGACCATTGGAATTAGCTGAGCCGAGCGGCTAAGGCAGTTTGTTGTTGCCAATAATTAAAACATGTTGTTCTTGTTGTTGTTGTTAATGTTAATGTTGGTGGACCAGCTGCTTTCAAAAAGCAACCAGCCTTATCCTAATGAAAATGTGATGGTTTTGTCAACGATTAGATTTGCAGTGTTAATTTAATTTTGTCGTATGGCGGACACCTTCAAAACTAGTACATTAACATTTTAGTAAGTAAACACACTCATACACACAGAGACACACACACGCATTCGCTACGTCTTGATAGGGTGTGAGTATTTATGTAACCAGTATGCCAGGCAAAGGCAAAGCTGGCGAGCAAAGGCACACATAGATACTTTTTGGCATTGAAACAAAACGTAGTTCACAAAAAGCACACAAACGTACACAAGCAAGCACGCGTGTATACAAGTAAGGGCACACAGATACGCGCACACATCGACGGAAATTAGAAGATGGCATAAAGAACGTAGAAGAAACTAACATGCGACGCATAAACACACTTGCACGCTCAAACACTCATACAAACACGCAAAGAGCTTAGAGAGATACACATGGCAACTTTGAATATTTATATACGTATGTATGTATGTCCGCTATACGGAACTAAATTTAATTAAATTTTGTTCAGGCGAACTTTAAAATTCAACAACAACAACAACGACAAAATTTCATAGCGGTTTGGATTGAACAATTGATAGCACTTTTATAAATGTTCATTTGAATACTCGATAAATGTATCTATATGTTTATGTCGTTTCTGCCGCCTGCGGGCCACTTTAATAAATGTACACACATTATGTATGTCAGTATATATGTATATAGTACAGCAGCACTATTTGTGCCTATTTCGTTGTAATATTGTTATATATGTAGCATATAAACAAAACTCACTGATGACGACGCTCTGACTCTGACTGAACTCAACTGAACTGAACTGGACACTGAATGTGCTCGTCGTATCTAAAAACTGCCTTGGCTTGCTCGACTTACATATGTATGGTTTATCGCTCTTTGCCTCTCTCATATTTTGCTGCTTCTGTTTGTGTTTCTCTGAGTAGCTGAGATTTTCATACAGAACTTAAAATTCCGATGGTGATGATGGTGGGCTAGTCAGTGGTTGCACGCAGTACACACACAAACATGAATACACGTACACACACCAATGCATGTCGTGAGAGCACTGCATATCTGTGTGCCTGGCATGTCGTTGTGTGTGTTTCAATTTTGCTTTCGTTGCCCAATTCCAATTGGAGAGCGAGAGCAAAGTGTGTCGTGTTCTCTCATTGTGTCTCTCCCAATCCATTTGAGTTAAGCCGTCTCCTCGCTCGCTTGTATTGGCACTCAGAAGACAACCACTTTACGCTCAATGTGGATTCAATTTAAACTTCTATTGTGCATTTTCCACACAGCACGCGTTCTTTGCTAACACAATTTTAATAGGGGTTCCATTCCCACTAGGAACAATACGAAAACTGTTATCAAAACAATCCGATTGATGCACCCCACGCGGGATGAGCGATGGTATGAATGTTAATTGACAACTTCATTTTTAATTGAAGTTTAAGGCTCCGACAAATATTTTGGGGCTCTACAGTTTTGACAGACGAATGAAGTCAAAATCCGCTTTTATTTTTATATCCTGAACCCATTGCAAATGGTTAAATGGGTAAAATGGTTTTGTGAAATATATGTAACAGGCATCAGGAAGCAACTACGAGCTCATAATGAGTATTTATTATTGCTCAACATTAACAGCCGGTCGATCTAGCCATTCCACAAGATTTGTTTTAAATCAACGATACCTTGATCTGTTTTCTTAAAATTGAGAAGAATCAATAACAAAATCTATATGTATTGTACTATTCTTTCGGAGTTGGTTTCAGGGAAGCTCCGTGCACGCCCGACTAGAGCAGTCTTACTTTTCTAACTAATGAATTTTATACAATTGTTATTTTGCGAATATGATGATATATTTAAATTGTTTGTCAACTACTAAATTATGAAATGAATCATATACAGTCAATTTTTATGAATGGGTCGAATAAAATCGTATTTTATCACATCTAATATTATAATACTAGACATAAAATTAATTTTAGAGTTATTCGATAAAAAAATTGATTGCACAAAATCGATAGAGATTTTAGAAATATCACACAAAAGAAAATAAAAAAATTAAAACTATACGCGAAGCCCTCTTTTCTCGAGGTTTCGATTATAATTAGACAAAACAATAAAATGCACGTAATTGAGATTCAGATACGCAGTGTTTTGCTGTTTGGTCAGTATTAAAGTAATGTAACGTGCTTAACAATAAATAAGATTGCGTACATTAACCTAGTCGAAGGTGTTCCAATTATTACTGCCTGAGAGAATGGCCGCAGTTCAGCTGTCATTGCCAACGTTATGACTTATTATATAGGCGGCGGTCTCCATAGGACATAGTAAAGGCGCCAGTTTTGGTTCAAACTGTTCGAGATCTTGCAGGAATGTTAATGTAGTGCGCTGACAGCGGTCGGTAAGTGTCGACCCCTCTTCATTTTGCAATATATTGCATACGTTAAACTGCTTAAAAAGTATAATA